GCAGACACACTCAAGCTGCGAAGAGAAACAATCAGCCCCTCCCTCCGTCGGGGGCGCCGGGGCGGCTTCTGTCTTCCTGTCGGTTGTAAATAACGCAGCAACCAACCGGGGGTGTGTATGTCTTTTGAAATCGTGTTTTTGTTTCCTTCGGGAGCTCCCCGAGGTGGGATCCCTGGACCACACGGCAGGGCCCCCGCCCGTGTTCTGAGCGATCCCCACTCTGCCTTCCACAGGGGCCGCGCCGGCCGCGCCCCACCCCCGGGGCCCGGGCCCCTTCCAGCCCTCGTCCGACGGCTCATTGGCGACAGCCGCTCTGTGGCCGGGGCGAGGGGGCGAGGGGGCGAGGGGCGAGGGGGCGAGGGGGCGAGGGGGCGAGGGGCGGGGGGCGAGGGGACCAGGGGGCGAGGGGGCGAGGGGGCGAGGGGGCGAGGGGGGCGAGGGGACGAGGGGGCGAGGGGCGAGGGGGCGAGGGGGCGAGGGGGAGAGGGGGCGAGGCTTTGACATCAGAGACCGGGCAGAAATGCGCACGAGGAGGCTGGCCCGTCGCTGGGGAGACGCGGACACGATCCCGCAGGTGAGGACGGTTGGAGAACAGAATGCCGAGGGCACTTCCTGCCGCCCTGAGAAGCCGCCGCACACCTGCGGCTTCGAGGAGCGGTCACTGTCTCCTGCTCCGGGGCCAGACCTGGGGCGCCCGCCCGAGGGGCGGCGGTCAGGGTCAGGGCCGCAGGCTCCGGGCAGAACGACCCCTTTCCTGCCCTTCCGCCTTCTGGAGGCCGCGGCCACCCCCACAGGACACCGCTGGGACACTCGGCTCCGCCCCCCTCCCAGCACAACCCCAGGGCCCCCGGATCAGCCGGGACAGTCCCGTGCAGGGTCCACGGCCTCCTTCGTCCCGCCTGGCACGACCCGGCACCAGAGTTTTAGGGCGGGGACACGCGACTCCGCCAGCACGCGGGGGCCCCCCGGCCCCCTCCCCTGCTCGTGCTCGGGAAAGGCTGCAGCCCTTCCGGAGACCGGCTCGGCAGTTCGTGACCAAGTTCAAATGCAGGACACAGACCAGCCAACGAGCACACCCGTGGGGCCTCGTCCCCGGAAAGGAGACGCGGCTCAGGCACACCACGGGCACCCGGCCGGTCACCGCAGCGTCGTCGGCGTCGGCAAGGAGCGGGCACTCTCCACGGGTCCTTCGAAGGTGGACGGTGGGACAGACGGCCGCGTGCGCGCCCACAGACGAGGCGCATGGCCGAGCATGCGGCCACGGACGAGCCCCCAGCTCAGTGCGCCGAGTGGCAGCACACGGCTCGTCCGCGCAGCGCCCGCCGGGCACCGTGACTGCGGACGCAGAGCGGACGGTGGTCCCGGAGCCGGGAACAGGGTGAGGGGCTTGGAGGGCCCCCAGGGTCCCAGCAGGTACACGGAGCTCCCAGCGGCGCAGCCCCACCACTGTACGCACACACCCAGAGGTGCACCCGGGGGCCGAGTCGTCTGTGGGTGGACCCACCGCATCCCACAGTCTGGCGTCGCCGGGCTGTGGGTGCGAGGGGCACTTCCCACAGCTTCCCCGACTCTCCTCAGTTCAGGAGAGGTTAAAGCCCGGTGCCGGGGGCAGGTCTGGGGTTGTTGGTCCAAAGCGGGAGTCAGCCCCGCTCTGTGCGGAGCCACAGGGACAGCTCAGGCTCCCGCCTGCCCGGGGGCGGGGCACCAGAGGGAGGACGGGAGGGGCTGTCCCTGCCGGGCGCCCCCAGAAGCCCCCCAGCCCCCGCACAGGCTGCGCCCACGCCGCCCTATCACCGGCCCCGCCCATCTACACTCCGGTCCCTCGGGCTCCTCGGGCCCCTGGCAGCAGAGCATCCTTCCTGCCTGGACCCCCGACGGAAGCTCGAACCTGCGATCTCCTGGGCTCAGCCCTCACCAAGGCCACCCGGGGAGGGAGGGGCGGGCAGGGCGGCCCTGGGTCGGCCGGTGCACTGGGAGTGCTGCTGGGAGACTGGGTCCAGGGCGGAGGTGACGGCTGCCAGGGGCAGCCCTCCACCAGGGGGCCGCCGGAGCCCCTGAGGCCACACCCACCGCCCCGAGCGGGTGCCACCGACGTGGTGGCTGAGGACAACCCACCGCCCTCCATGGTCCGGGAGATGGGAGTCTGGAATCTAGGGCACAACCCACTTCTGGCTGGTTCCAGCTTCCAGGGCCACCGCCTCCCTCCCTAGCTCGAGCCCCCCCACCCCCACCTCCAGAGCAGGCGGCTCAAGCCCTGGCCCTGCCCAGCTGCCCTCTGACCTGGACCCTGGCGACAGCACTGGGGACCCAGGACAGAGTCGCCTCAGGCTCCTTCCGAGTCTCATCTATCTGCATGCGGCAGGCAACAGCCCCCCCACCCTGCCACACCCGCACCCCCACCCTGGCGAGTCCTGGGTGGGCAGGGCGGACAGGAAACGAGAGGGAGAGGGACGGGGGCTCTGGGGTCCCCACCCGCTGCAGCCAGGCCCTCCCCCGGGGCCCTGAACACCACGGCCCCCCAGAGGCCCCCCGGAGGCCCTCCCTGCCACCCGCCAACCAACCGCAGCCTTTAGCTCGGGGTCCAGGGCCCCAGCCCTGGCCCTGCACACTCCCGCCCTGGGACCCCCCCCGGGGCTGTGCCCCCGGCCACGGCACCGGCCCTTCTCCACGGCCAGCGGCCGGGCCTGCTGTCTGTCAGGAACCCACAGTCCCTGGCACTGACCCTGGTTCCGGTCAGTGCAGAAGGGCCACAGCCAGCTGGAGGAACACCACCCCTTGCGGGGCGTCCCCCAGCGCCCCCCTCGGGGGACGACAGCCCGGACCCCCGGTGCTGCAGAGCACCTTCAAGGCAAAGCACCCAACTTCATCTGACGGCACGAGTCTCGCTCCCGGGTCTGGACCTGCTCTGCGGGCAGACGTGGGGACGCGGGGGCCCACGCCGTCACGCAGCCGCATGCTCAGCCGCGGCCAGGGCGGTCCGCTGCTCCTAAAGGCAGTTCTCAAAACCGCCGCGCGGGAGAGCGGCACGGGCTTGTCGTCCACTCGCTGGCGGTCGCTGGCTGACACTTAGTCGCCCCGACCCGTGGCCAGACCCGTGGCCTTGGCACATGGGGACGCCGCCGACCCTCGCGGCCGCCCAGCCAGGGCAGGGTGACACCTTCTGCGTGTGTGTGTGCTGCCGCAACAAACAGCTGTGAGGGGTGTGAGCCCCCCGGGGCCCTGATGCCAAGTCACCCTCCTGCCAAGGGGGGTGGGGGGGGGCTGGCCCGGGGTCCTCCGGGTGTGGGGCCCCTGCAGGAGGGCCCGGCTGGTGTGCGGCAGGGTCTCCGGTGGCTGCCTCAGGGAGGGTCCCGGACATGGGTGGGGTCCGGGGCCAAGGGCTGCTGATCCCAGACTCGGTCTGGCTCCTGGAGGGGGGCCTGCAGGGCCACGGCCATGGGAGTCCTGGGAACCCGCCCATGAGCGTCGGGGGCCCAGGCCACGCTCCCAGCTACACAGAAGGGGCCTTCACCGGAATTCCCAGGACCTGGGCGCAGGGCTGTGGGACTGGGGGGTTCCCCTCCGTGGGAGGACGGCCCTCTCCTGGGCTGCGGGCAGCTGCCCACCTGGAGCCTGGCCCCTGCTCTACAGCCCCCCCGCCCGTTACCCCAGAACCTCTGTGACCCCACTGAGGGGCATCCCCATAGACCAGGCACTCCTGTCTCCGGGCAGAGGTGGGGTGTCTCCCAGCTTCCCACGCTGCAACTCGGCGGTCTTCCAGAGTCCAGGGCAACTGGGGGACACTGCTGCATCCAGGTCACGACCTGGGCGGCTTCCGGAGCACCCCGTCCCATGAGGTCCCCTCCGCCAGCCCCTCAGCACCAGCAGGACGGGCCGGGGGCCCAGCCTCCCCCAGCAGCACCCCCGCAGACAGCAGCTGCTAGACCCGGCCAGGCAGGGCACGGAGCCGTCTGCCCCTGAGGGCCAGCCGGTGCATCCGGGCCCCGCTCACACGGACAAAACCCAGGAAGGAGAGCACAGCACAGCACAGCCCAGGGACCGGCCCAGCCCAATAGGGCGCAGGGAGGCCACCGGCATGGGCCGGGGCCACACCCGTGCTGCTGCAGGGGGGCCGGCCAGGTGCTCAGGGACCACCCGCGTCCCACGAGGGCCAGTGCTCCAGGCCGGGCGGGCTCTGCCCCATGGCCCCTGCTCCCAGCGGGCAGTCCCCCAGGCGGGCCTGGCCCCGGGCAGCCCAGTCTTCTCAGGCCAGCGGCTGGCCCGGGCACGTGTCCGGAGGGGCACTCCTGGGGGCCCGCCCCCCCCCACACACACACTGGGGGGCCTCCCCTCCCCGCCCCCCCCGCCCCGGGAGCATCTTCAGTTGCTCGCCAGGCGCTGACAGAGGAGTGCCCACCAGGCCGTGCCCACGGAGCGCGGCCCCTGGGACAGGCAGCCTGCGACCCCCATGGACGAGGAGGGAAGGGCACGGCCAACACCGCTGCGCCGGGCTAGGGGCTCGGGGGCGGGGCGCAGGGAGGCCGGTCTGGGCAGCGAAGTCACACGGACGCCGGGTGCTCAAACACAGATTTATTGCGGCCCCGCGCTGGGGGCGGCGGCTCCCCGTCCTCGGGCCGCACCGGGGGCTCCACGGCCCGTCCGCTGCAGCCGAGTCTGCAGAGAGAAAACAGGCAGGAGCGGCAGGTCCGGGGCGGCGAGGGGCAGAGGCCCCCACCGGACAACCTGCTGCCATCAGCCGCGGGGGGCCGGCACCCTCCAGACGCAGTTGCAGCCTGCGGGGGCGGGAAGCGTCGCGACACCAAAGTAAAATCCGGCCGAAGGAAGACGGCGGCCAGGGTGCTGGGCTCCGGGCTCCAGCCTCCCCAGCCACTGAGATGCAGGCGCCGCCACACCCCGCCGGCTCACTCCGACAGACCCCCAGCGGGGGGGCGCAGGGGAGGGACGAGGGACCCGGGACGGACACGTGCAGAACGGCCGTCTCGCCGGCGACAGGGACCCGGAGGCCTGCGGCGGGGTCTCAGCCGCCCCGGCCCAGCCACGGGGATGGGCAAGGTCAGGGCTCTGAGCCCCAGGGGCGCACCCCCGGCCGGCGTCCGTGCCCCCCCCACAACGGCCCCCAGGCCCCAGGGGGACACTCTTCGAGCAGAAGTGACAGTGACAAACCGGCCCCCACGCACGCACACCACTGAGGCGGAAGTCTCCGGAAGGATCACCTCCCAACAGGCCCCCTGTTCCCCGGTGCCAGTCTGTGGGGCCACGTCCCGGCGACGGGCTGGGTCCGGAGGGCGCCGGGGCGGCGCTGCTGACACGTCTGGTCCCGTGGGGCCGGGGCGGTTCACGTGGGCGCCCGGTCAGAGGTCAGAGGTCAGAGGTCCTGCCGTGCGGGCAGCCACAGGGCTTCCTCCCAGAACCGGGACCGACAGCGGGACGGCGGTCCCGGCCCCAGGCAGCAGTCACACATGAGCAAGTGAGCGGGACTCGGGGGGCTGTGCCCGGCGAAGGAGGCTGCTCCCCAAACCGCTTGCCCTGCTCCTCGCAGCCCCCCCACCCGCCTCCCCCAGCACGAGAACAAGCAAGCTACAGGTCAGCGGCGAGCGCGGGGGCAGCAGGGGGCCCACAGGGCCGGCGCTGCCCGTGGGGACATCCCCCGCTGGCCAGCCCCCCTCGGCGCAGCCCCGCCCTGCTCTGGAACAGTCCTGGGGGGCAGGGCGGGGTGGGGCCGGGGGCTGCGGGGCCCCCTCTCCTGGGCCCTAGAACTGCACGGCCCCCGGGGAGATGTTGAACATGGCCGGGTCGAACCTCTGGCCGCGGAAGGGGGAGCCTTCGGCGTCCCACCCCTTCTTCAGCATCTCGTGGACTTTCTACAACAGAAAACAGACAGGGGTCAGCCTGGCCTCCGGGCCCCCGCGCGCCCCCGCCGGGCCCACTCTGCCGTTGCCTCCGGAGGACCCGCGGGGCGGCTGCACCCTCCACGGGGCCGTGCTCCCCACACGCGGCCCTCGCCCTGAGGTCGCCCGTGGAGCGTGGCTGTCCTCCTGCAGCCTGTCCTCCTGCAGCCTGTCCTCCTGCAGTCTGTCCCAGCGCCGGGGGCCTGAGGGCTGTCGGCTGGGGGCAGGCCGAGATGCAGGGGGTCCCTGCTCCCCTTTCTGAGGGAGGCGGCTGGTGGCATCAAGGAGTGCACCCTCAGAGAATCTGGGGTGACCTGGGCCATGACTCGGCCTGTCCAGGAGGCCCCGTGTCCAGGGCAGCAGCAGGCCAGGCCATGGGGCCTGGGCCGGGGGACCGGGGAACACTGTGCCTGAGAGGGAGGCGTCTCCCCACGAACACAGGGGGCTGAGGCCACCGCCCTCACTTGTGACCACAGGAAACGAAGAGGCGTCAGGGCCATGGGACAGTACAGACAGGCAGTGTGCCCTGGGGGGTGGGGGGGGTCGGGGCCGTGGCCACCTTGGGGACAGACCAGCCCCACCCACGGCAACTCCCTGCCAGCGGGGGTCGGGGAGGCATCTGTGCCCCTGCACCCTCGTTCCTCCAGCTCCTGCCGCCCTCCCGGGACTCCCACGGGCTCTGCGCCCCACCTGAGTCACCACGGCCCCGAGACGCCCACCCTGTGCCGCTCCAGCAAAGGATCCTGGGCTGCAGGACCTGGCCACCCAGGAGCAGGCTGGCCGAGCAAGGGGTCACCTGGGTCCTGCCTCGTGCACAGCCAGCCCCGGGCTCCTGCTGCCCCTCAGGTCAGCGCGCGGCCATCACACGGCACGTCTCCAGAGTCCCCGCCCCCCAGACACACGGCCCCTCCCAGGCTCATCCTCACGTCCTTCCCGACGGGCCGTCGGCCCCGGGGCCCGTCAGCGGGGACCCTGCTGCCCCTGCTCCTCCTGTGGCCTCACGACTCAGGGCCTGCCCCCCTCCGCGTGGGGACGGCAGCACCCCAACAGCGGCACGAGGCCTACGCCACGGGGCTGGCGCTCGGGCAGCTCCACTCCCGGGGCCCCGGGTCGCCCAGTGAGAACCGCTGCCCCAGAGAGAGAGGCGAGCTTGGCACCGGGAGCCGGGGGCCACCGTCCAGACCCTCCCTGATGGGCAGCCTCAGGCAGAGGGAGGACAGAGGCCAGACCGGCTCGGGAGCAGCCCCGCCCCTTCTGCTGAGCCCCCCATGAACTCACGGGTGTTCGGGGACTGCGGAGTCTGACCCTGGCAGCCCCGCCCCGCCCCACCCGTGCCAGGTAAGGACGCACAGACAGAGGGACGGACACACCAACAGGCCACAGCAGGGGGCCTGGGCACTCCCCAGAGCAGTCAGGGCCCCAAGGACATTGTGAACCACGCTGGGGGGGGGGGGGGCCTGAGCCGACTCCCCTGCACCACGGGCTGCGGCCGCCTCCCGCGCTGCTCACGCAGGACCCGGCAGCTACGCGGGCCTGGGACAACCGACCCTCCCCCAGACCCACGCGGGGTCATCGGAGCAGGAGGGAGGCGTGCAGACGTCCGAGACCCATGACCCCACAACCCGTGGCCGACTGCAGTCTGAAAACGTGAGCGAGCCGTTCCACGGGTACACAGCCGTGCGTCTGAGACTGGGCTCCTCTGGGGAGCGTGAGGAGACCCCGAGACCCCCGGCCCCTGCCTGCCGGCACGGGACCGCACCCCCGTCCCGCGGGCACCACTGCTGCATGTCAGTGGCCCAGTGGCCGTCTCGGGCATCAGACCGACGGGGACGGTGCCACCGTGCTCTCGTCCAGGCCGCCCCCACAGTCCCTCCTGACGCCCGAGGGCGAGGGCGGTGAGGCTGGCGCGCAGGGGCGGGGGCGCAGCCCCAGGGGGCGGGGCCGTGGGGCAGAAGGCAGCACCGGAGGCTCAGCACTGCCCGTGGGCCCAGGCGCCCACTCGGGGTCCCGGACCGTGTCCCCATGGACGGGGGACGACCGTGCCCGTCTAGCTCACCCTCTCCTCGGCCCCCGGCTCTGCGCTGACCCCCTGCTGCCTCCCCACAGCCTTGGGCCAGGCAGGCGTGCCCCCCCCATTCCTCACCCCCCGGGTGACTGAGAAGGGGCTGGGAGGACCTCCTGCCACCGGCCCCGCTCATGCAGAGCTGGGACACGCGCTGTGACCGGCTCTATGTGCGTGGCCGTGCCTCGGCCCTGCCACCTGAGCTCTGTGTCCGAGCTCGGACCAGCGGACCAGACGGGAGCTCCGGCCATCAGGACCCAGGCCGTGGCAAGGCCCCCCACCACCCCGCCCGCCCCGTGCCTGGCCGCGCCGCCGTACCAGCTCGTGGCTCTGCGGCTTCCCCTGCAGCTTCTGGCGGTAGTCGAAGGTGAGCCTGTCCAGCACGGCGTGCTCCTCCTCGTCCACCGTGGCCATGGAGCGCTCCTTGTTGATCTGCTCGATGTCGATCTGCTCCTCGCCCTCCAGCACGGCGCTCCACCAGTACTCGCCCGCCTTGCTCAGGCTCACCTGCCACGGGGCGGCGGCTCAGTGGGGCCCGGGGGCTGCGTCCGGCCTCGGGGTCCCCACCCCCAGGCCCTACCCGAGGGCTCCACTGGGCCACCACGCACGCGCCCTGGGCCCTGGGACCCAGCCCGAGAGCATGCTCCCGTGAGCTCCGGCTGCCCCGCACCCACGCCAGGTCCCCACTCGTCACAGTGTCCCCACGGGCCACCCGCACCCCGTGGTGACCGTTCCCGCTCCTGCCCGCTGGGACCCCGGGGCCCGGCACCGACCCCACGCGATCTTCCCCCCGACGCCCAGCACCCTGAGCCGCTCGCCCCTGCCCAGACCCCTCCAGCTCCCTGACCGCCACACACGACTCACCCACCCGTCAGGGGAAGCACCCCACCCGGCCCCACGGCACCGCCCAGGGGCACGGCTCGGGCCAGGCTGGGCATCCCGCAGCGCCCAGGGCAGTGAGGCCGGCGGCCCCCCATGGAGGGGCACCAGGACGCCGAGACGCGAGGCCCCGGGAGAGCGCAGCCCAGGCGGCTCCGGGACCCAGCAGGCGCCCGGGAGCCCAGCAGCCTCATTAACATCCCACGTGTGGGAGCGGGGGAGGCAGGAACTGTCATCGGTTTTAGCTGCCGCCCCTGCCTGGAGAGCTGGAGCGGGTCCTCGGCTCTGGGGGCGGGCGCCTGGGGGGCGGCCGGCCTCAGTCGGGTGCCGGGAGGGCACAGGCTCCCCGGAGCTGCCACCGCCCTGTCCCCACAGGCCCTGCGTCCCGGAGCCACCGCTGCAGAGCCCTGGGGCGCCCAGGGCTCCAGACGACGTCCCTCCGGCGGCCTCCGAGGTTCCCGGGGACGGCAGTGCGGCCCCGCGCCGCCCCCCCTGCTCCAACACCACCTCACTCCTCCCGCGTCCGCGTCTCCCCCGCCCCAGGACACCCGTCCCTGGCGACCCAGGGTGACCTCTCCATCGCAGGGCCCTGACCACACCTGCAAACACCCTGTCCCCAGAGCCCCCCCACTGGTCCCGGGGTCTGGGGCAGACACTTGGGGCCCTTTTCCCCCCGACTCACCCCGGGACCTGGCGCTGAGTAAGCTGCTTGGGACCACCCGACCAAGGACGGCGGGGGGCCCTGCCTGGCGCCAGCGAGGGCCCAAGCCAGGCCTGGCCACCTCGGCGGCACCAGCACCCTCCACGGCCAGGGGCCGAGGGAGTGGGCGCCACCCCTTGTCACCGACCACCCCGACGCCCACCCAGGTCTCTGCACATCAAAGCGACGTGCTCAGGAGCCTCGGGCCATCCAGGTGGGTGACCCCACACGCCCTCACTGAGGGGCTGAATTGGGGCCACACAGACCCCGCAGCTCCCGGGGCCGGGCGGGGACTCGGGCGCCGCCCTGCACTCACCAGCACGCACTTGCCGGGCTCCAGGCTCCACAGGGAGCTCTCCGTGTTGACCTTGTGGGTGAACTTCCCCTCCATGAGGACCCTCTCCCCTTGGCCTTCCAGCACGGCCACCCGGATGGAGCTGCTGCTGAGGGCCACCGACACCTGTGTGGGGAGAGGAGCCGCGTTTCCCGAGTGCGGGCCAGACGGGCCCCCAAGGCTGGCGGGGACCAGGGCGCGCCGCAGCCGACGGCGGGGGGCGGGGGCGGGGGGAGGGGCAGTGGGGAGGCTGGGCCCCAGGAAGGGGGTGAGGACAGGGGTGGGCTGCCGGCCCCGGGGGAGCGGGTGTGGGGGCGGGAGGAGACGCCCGCCGCCCCCAGAGGAGGCCGGGACACTCTCTGCGGTGGGAACCCCGCGGGAGCCCAGGGCCCGTCTGAGGAGCCGGCGCCGCGCAGACGGACTCAGGTGCACAGCGGGCAACCGCGGAGCTAATTAGGAAGAGGGTTCTCCGAAACGCCTCCTATTTGTGTCTCCAGCTAGGTCTGGGAACACGCTGCTTCCACCCAGCCAGGATAAAACATGAAAATAGAATTAGACCAAAAAAGAGCACTTCTTTTATGAATCAAAATGCTGTGGCTAAAATAAAAGTCCCAGCAGAGAGCTGGGGAGGCCAAGCTGGAGACTGAGGCAGAGACAGGGCCGGGCGGGGCCGGGACGAGACAGCCGCGGAGCGCAGCGGAGACGCGCCTGGGGCAGAGGCCGCTGGGCGCGGCGCTGGGCAGACGGAGGCGAACCGCACACACTCGTGCCGGCCCCGGCTGACGTCTGAGGAGGAGACCCCGACAGCTCCGGGAGGAGGGGGACGAGCCAGGCTGCGCGGCCCGGTGCCCCCGGAGCGAGAAGACAGGGAGCGAAGCCTCCAGCCCTGGTGGGGCGGAGGGGGGGAGTTCTCGCTGGAGCCTCCATGCGCGCCCCCGCTAGGGAACCAGGGGCAGGTCACAGCCAGCACACGCTGAGACGCCCGGCACCCTGTGCTCGCCACGGGCCACTCGGAGGAAGCCCCGAGGATGGACGCTGGCCCAGAGCGGGGTCCTGGGCAGGAGGGGAGCACGCCCCGGCTCGGGCGCCCCGGCAGAGCCCAGAGCTGCCCACGCACGCTGCGCTGTGTGGGCAAAGGCTGCTGAGAGACCCGCAACGCTCTCGTCGCGAGAGAAAAACCGCCACTGGCAGCGTGGCGGTCACTTCCCTGCACAGACACCCCCGCCACGCAGCGCGCCTGCAGCCGCGCCCCGCCGGGGGTCCACCGCCCCGCAGTGCGGAGGGACTCGAGGAGGGCCGCGGGCTGAGACGCCCCGGGACGCAGAGGCGCAGGGCGGCTCCAGGTCCGGCGCCCCAGACGCGCAGGCACGTGCTGCAGCCGGGCGGAGGGGCTTTCCAGAAGGATCTTCGGGGAGACGGCGACTGCCAGACACCACAGCACTGCTGGGGGGTCTAGGTGGCTCCGGGGCCCTTTTCGACAAGAGGAGAAGAAAGGCGCCAAGAAACTCCAGGGAAACCACCAGCCGAGCCAGAAAGGCCTGACCCGGAGGCATCGGCGCGGGTGGCAGAGGGAGGCACCCGGGAAGGGCAGCAGCACCCTGCAGAACGGTCGGCCGCCCGCTTTCCCTGAACCTGGAAACTCGCCCCCGGCCTGCAGAAACGCAGGGAGCGTCCACGCGGGAACCTGGGCCAGAGCAGTGAGCTCGACACTGGACCCGCCCAGGCCGGTCCATCCGCCCCTCGGCAGCCCGGGGCTGGTGCAGCCTGGCGGCCACCAGACGGCGCGCATGACACGGAGCTCTGGAGGCTTCGCCCCAAACAGCTGCGCTCCCCTGAGCGGCGGGGCAGTCCAGGCAGCCCCTGTTTTCAGCCAGACCGAGGAAAGCCCTTTCCGCAGGGCCACGGGTCTGGGGCCACGGGTCTGGGGCCGCGGGCGGGAGCGGGGCGTGATGACCTAGTCGCAGCTGACGGCAGGCACACGGTAAGGCCTGCGCCCCGGGACCTCGCCGTGACGCCCGAGGTCGGGCTCGGGCGCGGCAGGTCCCCGCGGGAGGCAGAGGCGGAAAAGTGAGCACCCGCGTTGCAGACTTTCTGTGCCCCGGAGCGGGTTGCCTGGTGACCAAAAAGACTTCTACGCGGAAAAGCGCGGCCCGGCAGTCCTTTCCCGTCACAGACTTCCTTAACAAGGTCTCCCTACACGTCCCTAAGTGCCCCCAGCAGCCTCGTCCGCGAGCAGGGCATGCCCTGAGGCCGGGGTGCTATTCCCGAAGCTTCCCGTGGGCACCGAGGGCGGGCAGCAGGGCCTGCCAGTCGGCAAGGACTACCCACGTGTCCCCGCGGCAGAGCCGGCGGAGGACAGGAACCGCCCACCCTGCAGAGTCACCCAGTCTCCCAGCAGGGGGGCGGGGCCAGGCCTCAGGGCCCCTCCCCCAGGAGATGGGAGGCGTGGCCGAAACCCTCCGCCGAGGGTCTTCCCGCAGCGACACGCTACGAGCCCAGAACCCGTGGGTCTGCAGCCGGGCCTGCGGGCACTGCGGTGGGCACCGTGGCCACCCTGAGGCAAGAGAGCGGGTGTGGGGGCAGGAGGAGCAAGGGCTGAGCGCCACAGCCTGGCTCCGAGTTTTTCTCCGGATTTACCGGCAAGATGGTGAAAGGCAGTCTGCCGGCACGCCCCTCGTCCGTCCGTCCGTCCCCACTGCACCCCAGAGGCAGGCCCCTCCCGACAGGGGCCCGCGGGGACCACGGGGGCCAGGCACCGAGTGAGGCGAGTGAGGTCCGGCTCCCAGCCGCAGCCGCACCCACCCCCGAGCTGCTGCATCCCCGCCACCAGCGCACCGCACCTGGCAGGTGCGGGGACAAAGCCAAAAATAAACACCGGTGACAGCTCACTGTGACAGGCCCCTCGGGGGACAGCGGCAAAGGAGCCGGCCCAAGAGGACAGCGGCAGCTCGGGAAAACCCTTAGATCAGCAGAAGCCAAGAGCCGAAAATAAATTCACCCAGAGTTTTAAGCGGGGCCCGACGAAAACTTATGTCACGGAGAAGTAGAGACCACGGCTTCCCAAAAGGAGGGCGCGGTGCGAGGACGATGCCGTGGGAAGACCACCGGTGGGGGAGAGCTCCCCGAGCAGCGGAGCGGCGCGTCGGTCAGGTCAGTGGGCGGCGCGGGCGCGCAGGCCCGGCCGCCCCTGGGGCACCAGGAGCGCCGGCCGCCGGGACGGAGACGCCCGTGCGCGGGCCGGCCAGGGGCCTGCGGTGGGGCGCCAGGACAGGCGGAAGGGCTGCGGCCACCCAGGCACCCCGAGCAGCAGGGGCTGGCGCCACTGCGCATGGCGGTCGTCCCGGAGGCCCCCACGCAGCTCCGCCCGTGTCTCCCGCGCTCGGGCCCGCGTGCCGCAGCCGCCGGGGCCGCTGCAGGGGAGGGGCCGCGCACCTCGGAAGCAGGCCCCAGCCGGACCTCGTTTGGGAAGCGCACTGCCCAGGACAAGTCCGAGTCCGCAGGGACAGCTAGGCCTGGGGGCCTCCTCGGTGACAGGCGGCGGCGTCTTGCCCTCTGCCGGGCCTGCGAAGGCTGAGACCGCCGGGGAGTCCTCGCGCTGAGCGCTGCGAGCAGCAGCAGCCAGTTCTGCAGGCCACACGAGGGTGCAGGGCGGCGCTCGGAGCCGGGCTGAGCACGCGGCTGCCTGCCGCCCGGTCAGGCTGGGTGAACCAGGGGCCTCCCTCAGGCCGGCCCCTCCGGCACTCGGGCTGCTCTGCCCCGGGACCGGCTCTCCCACTGCCGCAGGCAGCAGCCTCGCCCCTCGTCGCGTCTTCTGCGGGACGTGAGGACACTGCACGTCCAACAGGAAGCTCCCAGGACGTCTGGCGGGGAAGGCGGGCGGGTGCGGGCGCCTGCGGCGGAGGGTTCAGACCAGCCTGCAACCCGAGCCCCGGCCCGGGACCGGGAGAGCCCCGCTTACCTGCCGGCCCTTCAGCACGTGGGCGGGCACCGGCACCTTGAGCTCCAGGTCGGCGTAGTCCTGGGACCAGGTGTAGTTCTCGCGCACCGCCCCGTTGTAGCTGTCGGGGTTCCTCTGGAACTGCTCCTGCCTCCTGAGGGAGGAACCACGGTCAGGGGTGGCCCTCAGCCCGCGCTGCCCACACCCCGCGCACGGGCGCTGCCACCCCGGCGTCTCCTTTCCAAAATCCGGCGTCGGTCCCTGTGCCGACACCTGGCACCTCCGGCTGGCATCAGCCGCCGGTCCCCCCTCGTGAGGCCGCCACCCCGAGGGGACCAGGCCCAGCGGCCAGCGCCGCCCCGACCCCAGTGCAAGGGCACCGCGCACCACGAGGAGGGTCCATGCCGAGGCGGGCAAGTGCGCGCGGCAGGGAGAACACTGTGCCCAGTGGGCGGGAACGTGGCGTCTTTACAGCCCGTCAGGCCGTGAAACCGAACCCACCGCCTCCTGTGTTGGGCGCAGCCCTGCTCGACCTGGGCGTCGACAAACAAGCTGGATCTGCGGGCGCCGGCATCCACGGAAGCCACGCCCCTGCACTGCAGGGAGCAGCTGCAGGGGGACAGGACGGGCAGCACCAGCCCCACGGAGCCTGAGTCTGGGCAGGCGCCTCAGGGCGTGGGGCGCAGGGCGGGAGGGTCGGCAGATGCCCCGAGGGGCCTCGAACCCAGCCCGCTCCAGTCTGCCCGCTGACTGCAGGGAGCAGCCCCCACGCCCCAAAACCACGAACACGCCACCGGCCGTACCCAGAGTCTGGGGATCCCAGCAGACACGGTTCCCAGTCTCTGCACAAGTAAACGGCGCAGGATGGAAAGGAGCAGAGAAAGCGTCGTGGGGGGCGAGCCTCAGGCGACGCAGCGGCCACGGGCAGCCGCTGCGGAGAGCACCTGCGGGGGGGACAGTCGGGAAGCGCTTCCCGGGCCTCGGGAGACCAGCGGGACCCTGAGTCTGCACACCCGGCCCCAGTCACAGCCAAAGGGCGGGTGGCGCCGCGGTTCCTGGGGCTTCTCCTTCCGGAAACACGGTCGGGCGCAGGGAGAGCGCCAGGAACCAGGGTCGCGGCGGGGCGGCGGGGCAAGCTCTGTGGGTTCTGGACCCGACGTGTTCCCACCCCGCACGGAGCAGCGCCCGCCCCAGAGACAAGCAGCCGGTTTCCAAGGACGCCCCTCCCGCTCGTGCCCAGCACCGGCGGGCTCTCCGCAGCGGCCACTGTGACGCACGCAGCACAGCGCCCCGGGCAGCCCTGTCACGGCCCTGTGTGTCCCCGTCTGCCGCCCACAGCGACCCGCTTCCGAGAAATCCCTGCCGCTGCCCCTGCCCGCAGCCCCACTGGCTTCAGCTTATAAACACCTCCTCCCGGGGTGCGGGTTCTCTGCATACTCCCCCAAGACGCTGGGCTGTCACTGCAGCCCCGTGGCCCCCGTCCTCCCAGCTCCTCCCGCCCCGAGGTCTGGGGTGGGGGGTGCTGGGGGCGTCGTCTCTGCCAAGAACAGGGGCTCCCGATTCCTTAACCTCCACTTCTGGGGGTCACTGTGCCCTCTGCGGTCACCCTGGTGTCCCGTGCGGTCTCCTTCCCTGACCGGTCGTGCCAGGGGCCTGTCCGAGTGCAGGAGGAGACACAGCCCGCCCGGCTCCGCCCAGAGACCGTGCGCCCCCGTCAGGAAGGCTCCGTCAACAAAAGTCGCTTGTGATGAGTGCACAGCAGAAAGTCCCTCTTAGCGCTGTGAAGTGAACTTTGCAGCACAGTGGACACGCCAGATAACTCTACCCCGAAAACACACGCGGCGAGGCCCCTCTCATAAACGCCTGGGGGGGCCGGCCGGCCGGCGACGGTGCATGCGGGCCGTGAGACAGCCTCGACCTTGGCCTGCCAACACAAGCCCCCCGACACCAGCTAGAAGCTCTTCTGGTGAACCAACAACGGAACTTCGCCGCAGTGAGACTTTGTCCTGAACCTCAGTCGTTTCAGTGAGGGGAGAGGCGTCCCGACGTTCCACAAGCACAGGAAAATGAGACGCGTTTTAAACAAAAAGTAGGTCACCTGTTCCATAAATAAGTCCACTGAAGAATGCTGAGTCCGTGGTCTCTAACTGAGTTTTCTACTCCTAGTCATCCAAAACCAGAAAACTGTTTCAATCCCCAGAAGACTTCTGAACTGAGCAAGGAGCCGGAGAGAACCACACTCCCGCCCCAGTACGACCGGCCCGGGGGCGCCCGGCACTCGGCCCCAGGGGCAAGGCCCACAGGCGGCCTGATGCGGCAGGCGCGGTGAGGTGACGCAGGAGCCACGGGCCCGGGCCGAGGACCGTGCCCTGCCCCGGGGTGCTCGGCGGGCCGCCAGGGGACTCGCCCAGCTGACACCGGGCCCCCGAGGTGGCAGAGCCCCAGCCCCACGTGGTCCTGGCGGGACCCCGTGCCACCGTCACTCTACGACACCCCCTCGCATCACACTTCCAGTGCGCAGGCTCTGGCCCCGTGGCCCCTCCGAGAGGCTGTCCCTCTGGGGTGACGCTGCCCCTCACGAGGCGAGCGACATGCAGCAATCTCGCCAGCAGCAGGTCCCGTGGTCGTTTCTGGGGTGCTGTGGGCACAGGGAGTGGGAGGGGGCCCGAAGCCCCCCGGTCGGTGCTCCTGCCACGGACACCAGACACCACAACACCCTCGACGAGCGACGCTCCAGCCCTGCGTCAGGCGGCCAGGGTTCGACGAGTAGAAGGCCCCACAACGTGGAGGGACGGGCAGGAGCAGTGTCTGCGGCAGGGCCAGCCCCACACGGCCCCGCCAGTGGGAACGAGGTGTTCACAGGGTCTCAAAGCACTGCCCCCCCAGACACTCAGCAGTTCACCACGGAGGAAGCCGAGACACTTTGGCCACAGGAAACATCGCGTATACCACACGCCAGGCCGGCCACCAAGAAAAAAGTCAGGTCCCCGTGAGCACCGAGACCATGGGGGACCAGGCCAAGGAGCCGGCCCTACTGCGGCGACCACAGGGGTCACACCTGCCCCGGGAGAAAGGGCTCTGGTGGCCCAGGGGCCACAGCAGCCTGTGGTCACAGGTTAACTCTGGGGACACTGGCAGTGGGGCGTCTGAGGATCCTTTGCACTGTTTCTGTAACTTCTTCCTCTGTAGACCTGGATTATATAACAATGGAAAGTCTTTTCAAAGAGGACAGAATACGCAGACCTCGGGAACTCCGGGCACCGACAGCCTCCTGGCTCAACCACCCAGCTCCCGCTTCTCAGACGCCCTGCAGCCGAAGCTGCAGCAGAAAAAACCACAGCTGCAGGTAAGATTCTGAATGCTAAAAATAGGTATCGTTTATTTCTAAACATTGTTGTTACTGAAATGCGACAACAAATACTAAGTAGCCTATGCTCTTGGAAATCTAAGGAAATCGACTGAGCGACTCTCAGACCCCGCAGAGGGAGCTGGGGTGCAGGACATGCCGACCGGAACCGCCGGACTCCACCGGGCGGCACACAGCACTCGGACGACGAGACGTACCCTGTTCCCAGGTGGAAAGGCTGGATGGAAAGGTGTTAGTTCCCATTCAAAACATAAACTTGATGTATTCCCAGTGAAAATTCCAACGGAACTTTCAGGTAGGAAAGTTAGTTTTCAAGAAAAGCCTGGGGGAGGGGAAACGCAGGCCAGACTGGAGAACGGCCGGCGAAGAGACAACTGGGCACAGACCAGGTGGAAGGAAAAATGCGGGGACGCCCGCTCCGCCGGTCAGGCCCCAGCAGACACGGCCATGGCATTCTGAGCACAGCCAGCGGGCGAAGGTCAGCGGCAGCCGGGACGTGGAAAAGCTGTACAGAGCACAAAAGTGTTGCAGAACACGGGCCACGGTGCCTTGAGGGGGCGCTGCCGCCCACTACGCTCTCTCGTGACCCTGCCCGGAACGCCCAGCCAGCTCGCTACACCAGCCAGCAAAACACGGGCGGCCAGTCCAGGCCACGCACCCGCCTGCCGAGCAAATCCGCTCCGAGGCCTCGCAGGAGAACTGGAGGGTGCGCCACCAGCCCTGCGCGGCCGCGGCCGTGAGTGCGGATTGCGCCGCTGTTTCTCGGGCGGGACGTCTCGAGAAACCCAGACGCTGGATCGCTGATGAGCGACGCGAGGGACGGTGCGGGGTTAGGTGTGGTGGTCCGTCTGCTCGCGTGAGCGCGGTGATCGAACTCGACCTAAAACACTCTCTGCGCGGTGCACGCGTCTTCACGCGGGGAGAGGCGCCGGCCGGCCGGCGCGAAGGGCGGTGCTTCTCCAGGGCAACAGAGAGCGTCCCCGGGACCCACGCAGTCTCTCCCAAGGCTCTGGAAATGCCGCCCTCGTCCCGGCGCCCCGGCGCCCTCCCTCACCCAGGCCCAGCGCCCGGGCGACGACCCACTCTCGGTGCCACTTTTTTCTTTCCTCTGCTTTTTTTAAAGAATTCCGTTTCGATTTTCAAAGGCCAAAGCCAGAGAGGTCCAGCCTTCCTAGATTTCCGACGCATCCCCGCGCCGGCGACAGCGACACCTGCTGGCCGCGCGGTGCACTGCAGCGCCTGCAGCACCTGCAGCAGCCCCGAGCGCAGGTCAGGGGTCAGTGCCGCGGTGGTCGGGCGAGAGCACTTCCTCAGGCGCCCCCTCGCCTGCGCGGACCCCCTGGGCTCCAAGGAACAACACGGGGCACTTTTCACGCCCTGGGCTGGCAGCTGGGGGGTGTAGCTCAAACTAAAGTGTCCCACAAATAGCTCCTAACTCACCCCTAAATGCTACACACATGGTTTGTGTGTAAAAATCTACACATTGTTGTTATAAATGAAGTCGTGCTCGGCAGCCCTGGCAGGGCAGCTCCGTTGGTCAGCGCGTCGCCCCCACAAGCCGAGGTTGTGGGTCTGATCCCCCGTCAGGGCACAGACCAGAACCAACCGGTGAGCGCGTCAGTAAGTAGAACAACAGACCTGTTTCTCTCTCCCTCTCTCCCCCTCCTAAAAATCAGTAAGTGACAGAGACAAAAAGTTACACAAATGTATTTCACCATTCTCGTGATGAAAATTCAGCATTCTTTCAAGGTTTTGCTGTATGAGTAATGCTGGAATAAATGACACGGGAGCAAGGAAGGACACATTCGGCCTTCATCCTCGCGTCTGGTTATTTCGGGGAACGGCTCCTGGAGAGGGGGGACACAGGCAGCCTTGCACGGCCCCCGGGACCCACCACGGGCACGGCACGTCCACGCTGCCACCACCCAGACCGCAGGGGCCACGCGGGCAGCCGAAGCGTCGGGCGCGCCCACCGAGGCCCTGCCTCCGAGGCAGGGACAGCGGCCCAGGAGGGAAGGGCCCCGGACGCGCCCCTCCCTGCAAGGCTGGGCCGCCGGCTCCTACGAGAGCGAGTGGGCGAACTGCCTGCAAGGACGGAACGCAACAGTCCTTCCAGGAAAACCTGAAACCCGGACACACGCGGACATTCACAACGTCTGGCATCCCACGTAGAGTGACCAGGCGCGTGGCGGGCAGGAAAACGTGGCCCAAGACAGGAGACAACTCAGCCGTCAGAAGCCAGCCCAGAGACGACAGAGCCGGTGGGACGCGAAAACTCAGCCGTCGGAAACACAGGCCGACGCAGGGGCGACCAGAGGGCAGACACCGAAGCCCCAGGAGCCCAAGGGAGCGCCCCCTGCAGGAAGCTGTGCAATGGGAGGGGGGGCAATGCTGCAACAGGTGGGAGTGCGTCTGCAGACAGGACCCCAGAGAGGGGAGACGACGGGGAAGCCCCCAGCGGCGTGGACCCACGGGCACCACCCGGCGGGGGCTCCGGCTGCGGCACTCGTGAGGACCAGACGCAACACGGCCGGCGCAGGGACTGGTCCCACGCAGGCACAGCCACGCGCTGTCCCTCAGAAGCCCAGCCAGCCCAAGAGACGGGGCGATGTGCTCAGCAAGGAGGGCCCACCAGGCAGCTCTGGGACAGGTGCAGCTGGGGGAGGTTCCTGCCAGCATCGGCTTCTTCAAGCAGGGGGTTGCCTGGGATCCCTGCCCTGCACCCAGCCCCCTGCAGACCCCAGGCCCCACTGCACCCCTCCTCCACTGGAGCCCCAGGTGCACGACCCGCCCCTCCTGCGTTACACGGCCTCGCACGCCCACAGCTGCTGCCTGAGCCTCCGCAACACGGCGGTGCTGCCCGGCCATCCTCACAGATGCGTCTGTCCCCGCTCAAGCCACTGCCCTCCAACCTGGGTGAGCGATGTCCTCCCCACGCATCCCGCAAACACTAGGAGCTCAGTAAATGCTGGACAGCCCCTGTCACCAAGTAAGAGCCACCCCCACGGCACCCACCCGCGTGCCAGCGAGAAAGAAGCAGGTCTCACTTGGGAGGAGCTGGGGGTTCCCTCGAGGCCTGGGCAGCACCCATGTCGGAGCCGGGTGGCTCAGCGTCCTCCTGGGAGCCCAGGGCCGCCCCCTGCACGGCGCCCTGCGCAGCGTCCGGCTGGCCAGAAGGCCCCACAGGCCCGTCCACAGCCGCGTCCGCGGTGGAGTTGACCTCCACCTCCTGCACTGGGGCAGGGACCAGCTCCTGCTCCGCCGCCTCCGCTGCCACGGCTGCTGCCGCCGCCGCCTCCTCCTCTCTCCTCATTTTCTCCTCCAGCTCCTTCCTCCTCTTCTCGTCGTCCTGACGGGCCATGCGGTCAAAGGTCTGGAACACCTGAAATCAAACAGCGGTGCAGCAGTGAGCCACAGGCACAAAGCAGCGCCCAGCAGCAGGCAGAGGAGCAGCCCCCGGAAGCAAGGTCCCCGTGACAGACGGCGACGCGAAGGACTCAGCCGAGCTGCTGCGAGAGCCCGGTGACGGGGGAGCTCCAGCTCCGCAGAAGCACCGCCTGACCAGCCCAGGCTCGCACGGGCCCAGCCCTCCGTCTCAGGAGGCACGACCCACGGTCTCACTGGCCTCCGTCCTCCTGCCCCGTCTGTCGGCGATGCGGACAGCACGCTGTCCCAGGACTGAGCGAGGAGAAGGCACCAGCGACTCTGGCAGCAGAGGGCAGGCGGAACCCAGCTGACCTTCCTGCCCCCAGCAGCAGCAGCAGCAGCAGCAGCAGCAGCAGCAGCTGTGGAATTCAGCCCGACCCACGCCAGGCCCTGCCTGCCAGGTGCAGGAGGAACCAGACACCACTGACGCCTCCCCGCCCAGAGCTCTGCCCCACCCGACAGACCAACCAAGGGTGACAGCGGAGTGGACAGCCTGCGGCACACACCCACTGTGCCGTGGCGGGGGGGGGGGTGCCACTCGCGTTTCTGGTGAGAGCAAGCGGAAGACAGCTCCTGGAAGGAGGAGCAGGAATCAGACCTTCCACGAATGGCCCACATCCCTCAGGAACCCCATGTCTGGGGGCGCCATCCTGCAGGTGGGAGCAGCCTCGCCACACCGCCCCACCCCCCGGCTCTGTGCTCCCTACTCTGCACCCTGGGGAGCTGAAAGCTCTGGTCCCCACAGTCACTGAAAGATGCAGGCAGAGGAAAATAAAGTCCCAAAACCTGGAGACACACCAGACCCATCTCGACTTCAGACGGCCTGCCGCAGCCTCACACCCTCGGACACCACAGTGCCGACCCAAACGCCTGGCCCGGGGCCGCCAGCCCGTCCTCCTGATGCCCCAGCTGGCCCTCCAAGCGCCATGGTGAGCCCTGACACCGGGCCTCTCCCTCGCTCCAGAACCGCAGCCCCATGCAGCTGCACCAGCCGTGACCTCCCAGACAGTGACTCACCAGAACTGCCCGGGAGCTCAGGGAGGGACAAATGGAGTGGGCTCCCCTGGCCCGGCCCCCGTGCAGGCTGGTCAAAGACGCCAGGACACGCGGACTGCCACCTGAAACGAGTGGCGTGCCAGGCCGCGCTGGCTCTAGTCTGAGCGCACGTGAAGGCCACGGAGAGGAAGGCGCCTTCCCCGGGGGTCCTTCAAGCTGCGCCTCAGGCTGTGAGCCCTCAGAGTCGGGGGAAGTCTTACTCCAGCCCCCAACCCCTCCGGAGAGCTTCCAGGTTCCAGCCCTCCCGTCCAAACTCTCTTTGTCCGGAAGACACCCCGAGCCCTCACCTCTAGCGCAGCGTCCACGGGAAGGGGCCTCCCGCCACCGAGTCAAGGGCAAAGAGCAGGGTGTGCGCGGCACCAAGTGCCTCCGCCTGGCTGCACGCCTTACACTCCTTACCGAAGCACCGTGGACAGACAGAGTGTCACTTTCCCACACGCAGGGCAGCGGTGCGGCCTCTGTGCGCCTCCCAGAGCGACCGCATGACCGCTCTGGCGACCGGCCGGCGGTGTGTGAGGTCGGAGAGGGGCCAGGGAGGGGCCGCTGTCTGCGGTCTCAAATCCAACTCGCCCGAGCCTGGGCCCCTTCCCCTGAGCTCCGGGGGCGGTGCAGCTAACGCAGTGCTGCCGCTCCAGCGCTCCAGCCCCCGGGTCTGAAACCCGAGGGTACCAGATTCCTCCGCCCCTCCCTCTGCCCGCTACCCGCTGCGTTAAATGGGTCACCAAGTCTCAGCCTGGAACATAGGAGGTGCTCTGTGAGCCGACACCAGACAAGTGAGTTACCTGTCGGTTCGCCTGTCAAACACGGGCACCGGCCCACCTTTCGGGGTGTGTTAGGGTTAAGTAAAGTGACATACGCCAAGGTAACTAGGACGTCCCAGGTGGTCAGGAGCTGCACCCTTCTCCTCTCTTCTGCAAGCCACCAATCACCCTAGGTGCAGGGTTCCCACTCTGCTATCGAATGGATAAATCAGGGGACAGAAAGAGCTGGAACCACAAAATTGGTGAGTTTAGCGGGACCATCTCACTTTGCTGAATCGCCACCCTCACCTGCCACGTAAAATTCGGTTGCAACTAACTCACAGGGACAAGTATTGGGTCAGCCAAAAAATTCACTTAGTTTTTGCCGTACGATGGCTCCAGTACCACTTAATGGTCTGTAACTTCATTCGAAACGACTCTGTTAGATTGTATTGTGACAGCTGTCGTATCAGAGTGCACTTAAAAAAAGCTTATCAAAATTGGTGAATTTTTGAGCAACCATTTTAGTATTGAAGATGGAAGAAAATACACAACATTTTCAGCACATTATGCTTTAATATTCCAAGAAAGGTAAAAACGCAACTGAAACACAAAAAATCTGTGCAGTGCACGGAGAAGGTGCTGTGACTGACCAAACGTGTCAAAAGTGGTTTGTGGAGCTCCGTGCTGGAGATGTCTCACTGGACAGTGCTCCATGGTGGGGCATACCAGCTGAAGATGATAGCGATCAAGTTGACAACGCTCAGTGTTATACCACACGGGAGATAGTTGACACACTCAAAATATCCAAATCAATACAGCTATTGGTGAAAATGAAAAACATGTCTTTTACTTTACGGCAAAAACCACACGACTTTTTGCCACCTTAATATCAAACTGCCACAAGGGCCTGCTGGGACCCCTCCCCCAGGGGTGTCGCTCAGGTGACATGATGAGGAGCCGCCTTAAGCTCCAGCACTGAGACCCCACCCCGCCCTCCCTATCCCCTATCGCCTTGGGCAACTGAGCCCCGCACACCTGTCTCTCCCAGCAGACACCAGCTGTAAAGTGCTGGGGACCTGTGGGAGGGAGGTGTCGCCAGCATTTCTAGCTTCCGAGACTCCTGCAGGCTCAACGCTAGGCTGAGTGCGGGCTTTCAATCCCACCGCGGCCCCACCACCCACAAAACCTCTCATTTCCAAACCCACTCCCTTCCCTGTCCCGTAAGGGGCCTTGCACAGCTCTCTGTTCTGAGGTGTTTTATCATCTCGACTGTAACAAGTGTCACGCGGAGGCCGTGACATAAACATCCACTGAGGGTGGGAATACCTGCTACCTTTCAAGGCACCCTGACAGCTTGGTGAATGAGCACGGACCGGACCTCAAAACACAATCCACTTAACCTGGGACAGCCAGACAGACACTCAAACGCACCGTCTCTGACCTAGCACATCACATCGCAAGCAAGGGTTAGCACCCGTCAATCCCTCGCCTCCCTGCCACCTCCTGCCCGGGACTCGGGGCCGCGCACGTCCGATTTGCATCCCCGACCCGCAGCCCCAGCACTGCAGCGGGCGCTGCGCCACTTCTGACACCCAGGCTCTGCCGGAGTCACCGGGATGCCAAGGGCCAGCCCCGCTCCTGCGGAGTAGCAACTTGATCCGGCGTGACCAGCGTCTCTGCGCACTCGCGGCGCCAGGAGGCGGTCCGGGGAAGCGCCAGGGGGAACCTGAGGCCAGGGGTGCAGGGAGGGACGGGGTCGAGATCGCGCGGGTCTGGGCTGCGGGGAAGGGGGCTCCGGGAAGCGGGGTGCGGCGGCCCGGCGCGCGTCACCTGCAGCACCAGCGCCTGCGCGGCCCCCGGCGGGAAGCCCATGCGGTCGGAGGGGTGGCGCAGCAGGCGGTAGAAGTCGGTCTTGCGGTAGAGGAAGCCGAAGAGCACGCGCAGGAAGTCCTGGACGTTGCCCACGTGCTGCAGGATGCCCAGCAGGGCCTGATCGTACAGCTCGGCTGCCCCGGGCTCCATGGCGTCGCCGACCGGACGGGCGCTCGCTCTCTGCAGGAGCGGCCAGGACACCGGCTTACGGCGACTTCCGGCGCGCCGCGGTAACGGCTCCGCCACGGGCGGGCCCGCGAAACATCGGTCCGCCCTGGCTCGGGCCCGCGGCAGGTCGTCGTCACTCGGGCGGCCTCGCCGCTGGCCCCGCCCCCGCCGCCCGCCGGCTTCCCCGGGCGGCCTCGCTGCGGTGCGCGCTTGAGCTCGGAAGCGGATTCTAGACTGCGGAGGGCCCGGGCCTGCGCGATTGAGGACTCCTCGTGGCCATGTTGGAACCGGGCGGAAGAGCGTGGGCGGCAGCGTCGCGCGATCCGGGGTTGTCCCGTGGTCCGCATCCTGAGCCCCCGGGTGCGCCGGTGGGTCAGAGGGGACAGGTGCGCGCGTGCCGGAGGGCGCTGCTGTGCCGTCGCCGCGGAGTGCGTGCCCGCGCAGAGAGCGCGCCCTCACGCTTGTGCCCAGAGCTGCATGGATAAACAGACTGCGTGCTTCGTGTCGGGGAATACGTCCGTGGGAAGGGATGCGCTGGCCAGCAGCAGAACCGCAGCGCTTGATGCTAAATGCCCACTGCTAAGGGAAGCCAGTCTGAACACGCTGCGGTGCAGTGTCGCATTGGGAAAAGGAAGACTAGAAACTGGGACAGGCCGGTGCGGTGGGTGTGAGGCAGGTTTGTTAGGTGGGACCGACAGTAAACCGAGGCAGGGAGAAGGGAGACTCGTCTCACCCACCGACTCAGCAGTTCCTAGCCCAGTGGCATAAGATCACCAGAGACACCGTGCTAACACGGAGGAGGGGAGCCCTTACGTCGTTTGGAACTCTGGGAAAGAAAGCCTTTGAGACTGTGTGGTCATCCCAAGGCCTGGGAGGGGGGAGGGGGTCCACAGTGCCTAAGGAAAACACCCATACATGACTTTGGTTAATTGCCTGTCTCCGGTCACTATCTGTTTTACAAGGGGTTCCTAGTGCTTACAGGAAGGGCCTGTAAATTACCTTGGGCAACTACCTCAACTTGAACTGCCTCTTGTCATTCACCTGTTTTACAAGATAAACAAATGGGGTCTGGAGCAAGATAAGGCTTGGGGCTAAGAGACCCCACACATACCTAAGTCTGGATAGTCACGTCCCCTGGGGGAAGCTGGCACCACCTTTACCTGTCAATCAATCTGTAACTTCTTCACCCCCATCCCACAAACTATAGAAATCTGTATGGCAAAGGACCTGGGGTCTTGCAGTCCTCACCCTGCCCTGCCCTGCACCTGTGCCTCCCACCTCCCCTTCCCCCACCACTGCGACCTTGGCATGGCCTGTTCTCGAGTTCTCAGCCATGGGAACGTATCACTAATAAACCCGGCTTGTGTGTGCCCTAACAGACTTGCTGATCTGTAATTCTCTACTGTGTTAGCAAGAAGAACCGAGGTCCCCCCTCCCCCACCCCCATAACAGGTTGAATGGGCAAAGCACAGGGCCCTGGACCTGTTGGGTGTGATGTTAGTGAGGGACACCCAGACGGTGGTGTAGGAGACGGAGACATTACAGCACACAGAGACACTTGATGGGTGCACGTTTTTAAAAAGACACCTGAGACAGTGGGGACCCCAGAGTGGAATGCAGGGTGACAAAGCGATCTAACCGTGTCACAAATGTGTGAACAGCCTCGCTGAAGGGAGACGCTGACCCAGGTGACCTCGGACATGAGTGAAGTCCTAGCACTAAATGGAAAAGGAACTTCCAAGTGTACGCAGACACTTCATTCCACGTTGTTCCCGCAAATTCTTCCTGCCCGCAGCGGAAACGAACAATCAGGCGGGTGGTGTGGGGGTGCAGCCAGGCTCTCGGCTGCTGGGTGGGTGTTTGCAGGTAAGAAGGGAGGCGGAGCCAGGGGCGATCCCCATGGTGGGTTAGAACAGGCGTCCCGATGAGCTGTTTGGCTCGGCCTCCACGCGGGTGGCTGCCCGTGGAAATGCTTACGCGAGTCTCCATGTGTGTTCACACGCCTTTCCTTGCTCTCCCTGCTGAGAGAGCCCAGAAGCAGTGACGCCCCAGTAGCAATGTGCACACGGAGCACCCGGACCCTGGTTTCCAATGCTGCCTGCAGAGAGGGGACCAGGACTCCTGGGAGAAATGGCTGCTTCCAGGTCCGGGGACCCTGTTCAGTGCCAGAAGGTAAAGGCATGCTCAGAAAGGAAAGGAAAGCCTCACCATGAAGGGCATGTGACAAAGGGACCCAGGAGCCAACTGAAAGAGCTTCCAGTGGCCACAGCTGGAACAATTTGACAACAAATTAATGCAGCAAATACGGTAGCATTACATCATCACCCAGAGCACAAAATGATGACCCAGGGGTCCACACTGGCACGTGTATACACAGGGCATTCAGAATCTGGCAGCTCCGCCTTCCACGGCCCGAACAAGGCTGCCCAGCCCCCAGTGTGGGCTATGCACAGGGGCTTCCCCTCAAAGAGCACAGCCTGGAAAAGGGGGGAAGAGCGTTGGCGGGAGGAGGCACCTGATAGGCACAGCCTCGGCCAGGTGGCCGCCGTGGTGACAGTGCGCACCCTCGCCACGATGAGCAGAGATGGTCACTGCGTCCCTGTGGTTCTCTCCCCCTAAGCCCACCACCCCTGTCCCACCAGGAGAGAGACACCAGAGAAAGCCCGTGGGAGGAACACCTGAGCAGCCTTCCACCCTGCCAGGCCATCAGAAACTGACATCAGACAGATGGGCACCCCCACGGGAGCCTCGGAGGTGGGGTGCCTGAACCTCACGCGGTGTCCTGAAAGGTCCTGCGACGGGAACAGCCGCGAGGGAAGAACCAGGAGAGTCTAGATAAAGTAAGGGCCTCGGTTAGTGACTGCCACTGCTGGCTCGCTGATTGCACGCTGACGAACGCCCCACACTCGTGCAGCGTGTTAGCGGGGGGGGGGGGGGTGGCGCGTGTAGGAACTCTGTCCTAGCTTTGCGATTTTTTGTAAATCTGAGACTGTGCTAAGAAATGTTTTTAATGTATTTCAAAAGCGATCATCAGCCATAATGCTCCCCCTCCCCCTGAAAAGCAAGAGGAAGCGTTGTGTGCGAGCCCGGGGAGAGCCCCCGCCAAGGGCCAGCTGCCGGCTGCCGGCTGCCAGTGCCTGCCCGTGACTCTCTCACACACGAACAGGAGGCAAACACGCGTGTACATGTCTCGCGGGGCCTCGGGGCCGTCCCTGCAACGCCAGAGGTGCGTTGAAGTTCAGTGTGGAATGTGTTTTGGGAAGTAACCTGACCCCTCATCTTACACCGAGTTGGAGATTAGGCCCCATCAGCCTACCATCCCGGCGCCCGGGAGGCCCTGGCACGGGCGGCAGCCCGTCACCAGATGCGCCGGTGCGCTGACGTGAGTGCTGGTCACGCCGCGTGGGCAGAAGCCTGTGGAAAGCCTGTCAGCGAAGAGGATCAGCAGGCACAACCGGTTCCGTCGGGTTGTGCCACCAACTGAGTTTGCCCCAAACTCACGAGGGAAAGTAGTAATGAACCGGGTTTGCAGAGCCCTCGGGATTCTGGAATTCCAAGTGCGTGCTTGCGGGCTGCAGTGCAACCGCAGTGGGACCCTCTGGCTGCCCGCCGGCGGGGCAGCTGACAGGCGGAAGTGGTTCGCTCACACGCTGGGACCCTGGGTGGCACGTGGGCCCACGCGAACACATCTGCTTTGCGTGTCCTCCCGTCACACGAGGTCACAGCAGCTCCTCAGCCAAACCCGATCGGCGGAAGGAGGGAAGGGGCCGCAGCCCAGGCGCCGCAGAAAGTTCTGGAGGGGGGTCTGGAAGGCCTCGGGGCTCGGCACTCTGACCCCGTCCCTGCACGGGATCTTCCCGGGGGCTGCTGCTGTGCGTGGGGCCCCTCCCTCCCCACGGGCACCCCGCTCCTCCAGCAGGCTGCCTGCGTGTCGCCCCCTCACGGGCTGCCCCCGGAAAGCGGCCGCTGCAGGGCTGCTCCTGGAGGCCCTTCCAAGGAGGGGCGCACGGGGGCCGGCTCCTCTCGAGAGAGGGGAAGGGGAGACACAGACTGACGTCCCCTGAGCCACCCTCCCACGCAGGGGTCATCTGTGTGACTCACAGCAAGTGTCTCAAGCCCAGAGGCGGCCAGAACAGGACGCGACATAAACGGCACTTCTGCCCACAGACATTTATTCAGCGCCGGCGCGCACGGCCCAGAGCAGGCGTGCGCCCGGTTCCCGCTTCCCCGCGGAGGCTCCCGCGGGGCTGTTCCGAGGCCGCGGAGGCGCCCCGGGAGCAGAACTGGGGGCAGGCGGCCGGCCGGCCGGGAGCGCGCAGAGGAGCCGACCCACGAGCGACTCCACGGGGCGGGGGGGGGGGGGGTGGCAACAACCGTCCAGTCGTGGGAGCTGAAGGCCAAACTGAGCAGCGTTTCCCAGCGGGGGTCCATCGTGACCAGCGTTTTCCAGAACGTTCTGTGACCCCCACCAGCAGGAAGCCCCTCCCGGGCCTCCTGTGGGGTGGGTCCTGCCCTGGGTCCTCGGTGACACACCGAAGAGGGGGTGAAGGCGGCATGGGGGGCGCACAGGAAGTGGGCAGCTGCTCTGAGACTGCGGCCCAGGTGGGCGCCCATCTCCGGCCTCGAGAGCCAGGTCCCGGCAGGAGGAGGCCAGCCTGTGCCGGCCGAGGCTCGCCTGACGTGGAGACCAGGGGCCTGGCCCTGGGGTGGCGGGCCCGCGGGGCGCCTGGCGGCCAGAAGGAGTCCCAACGCGGGCTCTTCCACAGGGACAGCTGCTCCCAGGCCCCGAGGGGGAGACGGGCCAGGGTCCCCATGGGAGCCCTCACGCCTCTGGAGCCTGGACCGGGCTCTGCTCACTGGGGCGGGGGGCCACTGGCAGCGCCTCCGCCCGTGCTCCAGGGGGAGGTTCGTAGGCCCCGTTGAGGTAGGCGCCGTTGGCGGGGCAGGCTGGGGAGGAGTGCTTCGGGCAGGCAGCTGTGCTGGCGGCATCCGCCTGTGCTGCCCGCTTCTGCTCCAGCACCAGGGCTGGGTTGACGTCGGGCCCTGCAGAGGGACAGACCCAGGGGAGCAGCGTCAGCGCCCTGCCCCGGCAGACGGGAGCGCTCCCGGCCCTGCCCGCACGGCGGCCCCTCCCTGGGCGGGCCGCACGCACCCAGGTAGCTGAGGGCCACGGGCAGGAAGACCAGCCCGTGCAGCAGGCCCAGCAGGGTGATGAGCAGGTTGAGCCGGAAGAAGAAGATCTGGATGAGCTGGGCCTTGGCCAAGCCCAGGACAAGGATGCCGGGCAGGTTGGTCATGGCAACTCCAGCGAACACCTGGGGGTGGCGGGCAGGCGTCAGGCTGGGCCCGGGGCCACCAGCTGAGGGCGTCCCACGGGCGCCCAGCCACTCACCGCACTGCCCATGGTGATGGTGGCCTCCTTAGCCCTCTCCAGCCGGGTGGGCTTGGTGCTGACCGCAAAGGAGCGGGTGATGTGGGACACGAACTCCACCGAGATGCCCACCGCCTGTGGGCAGGGGGGGTGTCAGCTCAGGAGGGCCGGGGCGGGGCCCACCCGCAGGCCAGCGGGCAGGATTCAGACCCTAGGGAGGGCGGCCGCACCGGGCGGTTACCGTGACCAGGTTGATGAGGGACACGGCGTTGTAGCTGATGCCCCACAGGGCCATGAAGCCCACGGTGTCCACCAGGATCATGATGATGGAGAAGAGGTTGAGGAGGCCGGAGCGCAGGTCCATGCCCAGCAGCAGGCAGCAGACGGCGAAGGTGGGCACCAGGCAGAGGCTGAGCATGAAGAGCCCCTCGGGCACCACGGTCAGGTACTGCTCGTAGAACACGTTGGTGACCCTGCAGGGACGGCACGGGCACCGGTCACTCGGTCACCCGGTCACCCGGGGCGTGGCTCCCACACCCACCGCAGGGGGCCCTCCCAGCCCGCCCTGCGGCCGCCACCCCAGCCTCACGTGTAGGGGAAGACCTCGAAGGCCGGGTCGGTGCCTGGCACCTTCCGCAGGTCGGCAGTGATGTTGGCTGCCAGCGCCCGGGTGGCCCGCAGGGCCTCCGTGTAATCCTGCGAGTTCTTCAGGGGCTTGTGGTAGGCCATGAAGCGCGAGGCTGGTGCCGGCGGGAGCACAAGGCTGAGGTCAGAGCCAGCCCCGAGCAGGCACCCTTAGGGCCCGGGGGACCTGGGTTCGGGCCCCGCTGCCACCCCTGGGGACCCGTGATCAACTCTGGGTGAAGGGCCTGCATCTGGTTTGGCACAAACCCTGCAGAACCAGCAGCTGGGC